CCACTATTTGTGGTACCTCACTTCTCAAACTAAAATGGAACAAAGCTCTGTTTGGAAGCCATCCTAGGCGTCCGAACTTTTGCTTCACAGCGCAGACAAGATCAACTTCGAGTAACAGGACTTGTTGCTTGTTAAGGGGGATGGAGGATAGATGTACTACTATACTTCAGCAAATAGTTTTGGGGCAGGAATCAATCGAACACAACAGGAACACCCATCAGGCATAGAGACTCAGTCTAAATCGGTCATAAGTCGAGGATAAGAATACATCACAATGGTCCATGGTTCATTACAGTTTCATCGAGCCTGTTATGACTTATCCCTCAGAAGTTCTTTGACCCTCAGCTCATCGCGTTATTTTGACTGCAGAAGGTTCCTTCGCTTCTTGAAACTGTGAAATTGAGAGGGAATGCTAAAAGGTTGGTGGCGATTACCAGTTGCACCTAATGATGCTCTTGGAAACCGTCTGAACCCTTTCCCTGCCTTTTTATCCGTTGGCTTTACCTGTGGCTCGAACAAGTCGTGCTCTCGCTAGCTTTTCTTGAACTCGAGTCAAAGTAGGAGAAGAACTTTGTTCAGTTTCCATTGAGCCTTCTTCGTTTCCAGTGGAAACAAGATTGATGCGAATTTTGGTGCAATCAGGAACGTCTTTGTTAAGGGTAAAATCTGCCTATGTCTAGGAAGCAGCAACTTAATAGCGTAGATTATAGAAGTGAGTTGGGGTGAAATTATTTTCGTCGCGAGCGCATCACATTCGACAGCTTTTGATGATGGAAGAGACTTTTCGAAGAACTATTCCATTTCGTTCTAGTTTTTCTCTTCAATATCACCCTACTTTCACAGGTTCTCCAATGTGCTGCGGAAGGCATCGTCAGTACAGGAGTAGAGTTGAATGGAATCTTGGTGGCGTATTCGAAATATCGTGCCGCCAGAGCTGGGCTCGGAAGAAAAGCAAAGTTTCATAGAATGGATATCTTCAAGACTGAGTTGGAACCATTCAACACCGCCGTCATATTCGGTGCGGAAAATTTGGTATGTTTTCGTTTATATTGCAATTTGACAATTTTTAAGCCTAATTTTCCTTGGCTGAATCAAATAACGTACACAGTTGTTTCGGATATCTGTTCTGCTCATCAAATTACCTTCGGTTTCTAAGTTCGTAGCCTGCTTTTGGTGACCTAAATCCTTTTGACCTCTTAAAATAGTTCCTACACCAGTAAACGAAGCTGGAATCGAGGTCATTGCTGACTCCTGGTAACTTGTTGTTAGATTAAAACAAATCTTGAAGTATCCTCCCTCGCCTAAGGATAATCCACTTGATTTGTGTTGATTAATTATTGAGGATCTGAATTTCTGTGTTTTTCAGATGACCGATATGGTACCAAAGCTAAGTGAGATGAGATCTGGCACAGCACTGTTGGCATGCCGTTTCCCACTTCCCGAATGCGATCACTTTCAATCAGTTGCTCAGATCGGTGAAGGAATCGATGCAGTTTACGTGTACAGGAGAAATTAGTTGTA